TTTTTACTGAAAACCAATTATGTATTGCCAAAATTATTGTAATGTATGAATTGAAAGGAGGAAAACATGCTTTAGTATTAGTAGATAATGTCAATACTATTGATACATTATCATATATTTCTGTTTGTTTGTTTGTTCATGTTTATGGAAATAGGTTATTTACAATGATTGTAGTTCATGTGGTAAATTATATGCACATATTACTCCTAAAGAAGTTATATATTATTTTGGTAAAAATTTTTCATTTTCATTTCAAAATAATTTTCTTTCTATTGATGAAAACACATCATGTTGAAATGATCTTTCAATTCTTCTATTTAAAAAATTAATTATACAAACCAGTTGTATTGAACATGGATATGTCTTCTAAATCAATATTTTCACCATATCTATAAATACAATAAATTAGCTAAAGCTTAATATGTGTATAATAATAATGATTTTTTGTGTCCATTACCAGCAAACTGATTTCCTAATATTTTTGAATTCTGAACTTCATCATCTGATAAATCTTCTTTCAACAAATTATCAAGAACACCTTTCAATGTTTGTAAAAATTTTGAACGATCATGTACAGCTTTTGCAGGCGTAGGAACTTTTGCGCATTCAGAATGGCTGAGTTCAAGTCCTTTGGCTTTATGAACAAACCTCAAATCAATTTTTCGACAACAATCAGACATGACATAAGACATCGTTTCTCCCCTATATCAAATGTTATTGCTAATACAAATATCGATAAAAAAATTATAATAGTCTTACCAGTGAAGTTTCAGACGATCCAAGACATCACTGAATATACTTTTCATTATTGGTGCAGTCATAGTCATTGCATATTCAATTTCACTGAGTTCCTTACATTTACCTGTATTGTCTACAAATATGAATGGATTTTTCAAAAATTCATCAATCCTAAGAATAACTCAACAGTATCAGTAGATGGGGTGTGAGATGCCCTAATTAAATCAAAATTAGGTGATGTAACGTAATGCCGATAGGACCCCGGAAACTTCTAATTGATGTCCCAGTCAATTTTCATGATTTTTATATTAAGTTTACCCAAGGGTTTATATAATGAATTTACCCTGTTAATATTAGTAACATTTTTTTTAACACTATTAAATTTACCCACTTTATATCATGGACTTTTTAAAAAAATTTATTATTATTAAAAAATTATTAAACTAATTTTTAAAAATATGTTTCAAT